CCAATAATTAATGACCGCTCCCTTATACTGACAATAACATATCACTCAGCAACACAAATTTAAGCTCATTTTTGAAATCATGCTAGCTCGAAAAGCTCAATAAACAGTTAAATATTCGTGTAATTTTGTAACTCAGAACTAAATTTAAAGCTATTGAATGAAAGTCAAAATGAAATTACTCTTACCATTTATAATAACAAAGTAGGTACACTTTTTTCGCTCGTTTGTCATCCTAGTTCGTTGCTCGTTTGCCGGTAATTTAATGTTAGCAATGTTTTTTAGCTATATTCTCCCATCTCTTGAAAGTCAGTTTTAATTTGTGGAATTCAAAACGCTCCCTCGCTGATATAAACTCGTACTACTAAACTTAGTACTTTTTTTTCAATTGACTATTTTAAATTATGTAAGAACAAGTACACTTTTTTGCTCGTTCGTCAAGCTATTTTGATGCTCGTTTTCCGGTAATTGTAGCTATGTTATGTAGCTATAAACTTTGTCACGCTCTTGGAGTTGTTTAATTTGTGGAATTCAAAAAGTGCTTTTTGCCAAAAAAAAAAAAAAAAAAAAAAAAAAAGATTTTTATTTTATCATAAATTTTTGTTGCTAAATACACCAGAATTCTTTTCTTTTCTTCTGCCTGTGAATTTAAACATTGTTATAATTGTGCTATTCAAAATATTCAAAATATTCATTTTGATCGTAAATGTCTAAGTTCAAATGTACCAGATTAATAACATTTTTTTCGATTCCTAAGACCAGGGGAATTACCGAATTCCTGATCCTGATTTCCTTTCGCGATCGAAAGGGTCATTCAACTTCCCGCGTCTTCCGCTCTTATTAACCTCGAAGCTATTTCAGGAACTCCAATGTACAGTCAATATCAATATCCGTCTCTAAAAAAATTCTTAAACAAAAGTTGAATTAAAAAGCACTAGCTAGATTTAATTATTGTTTGTATTGATATTGGGTATTAAAATCTTGTATGAATACTAGTTAGTTCCCAATTGGCCCACGCTCACTAACTCTAATTACAACCCTATTACAATTACTAACCCTATTACATTCAAAATTTTGTTCGCATAGTACAACTCTCGTCTCAAATTTTGATTTTTACGGACGCTGAAAAACCAGCAGAGAACCTGTAGAAAAACCCTCATAGGAAAGGAGAGAACAACATGTCAAACAAACTCAACTCAAATATAATTGATTTTTATGGAGGGAGGAAAACCAGAGAACCTGGAGAAAAGCCCTGGTGGCAAAGGAGAGAACAACACATCAAACAAACTCAACCCACACGTTGATTTTTATGGAGGAAGAAAAATTGGAGAATCCGTAGAAAAATTCTTGTTACAAAAGAGAACGCGGACACATTAAACAAATTTCATTGATTTTTACGAAGGGACGAAACCGGAGAACTTGAAACAGAAGTTTCTTAATCGAAAAAACCCGCTCCAGTCGAAACACAGAAAGCCTGTCTCTAGCTCTCTAAAATTGTCAAGATAACTGACGTGCATCGGTCTACAAACAACTTCATCTTCTTTCAGGCTGGGTATATAAACAGAACAATCGTCTTGCGATACTCAGTGAACATACAATAACCATTCTTGAATTTCAAGAACTAGTCTGAACACATACAAATGACATTAGACTTTTTTTGCTGACATTATACTTTTGTTATTCGATCCAGTAATTCAATCCGCGTATCCTACATCAAACAATAGGATGCTTTCAAATACTGTTACATAACAGTACTTAAGACGCCTCTAATTATGAAATACAATGCATTCTGGGATAGGCTTCACTCCTCCCCTTACTTGAACCAATGATAGCTGCGCGGAAATGTGGTTTATTTAATCACAATGAACCTACGGTCACCGCGCAGTTTATCTGTTTGAACCAACTATATTCAGTGTCAGTGTCAAGATAACAAGCTGACTCATTCAAGCGTCCAAGGTTTGTGGGTGAACCGAGTTCATATAATTGATACCTTTAAGAATATGGCTTCTACGTCCACTCTTGTCATTAACGAAGAGCCAGGTATGAAACTGTTTTTCACTCTCATATGCAAACACCTATTTCAAAAACCGTTGTCGGTCGGATGGCCCTGAAATCTGAAATCTCAGATCCAGTAGCACGCAGTAGCAACAGTACAAGGAGCAAAATAACTGATAAGTGATCAAAGCTGTCTATCACAAAAATGTGAAAAATGTGAAGTTATGAAACATGGATGTATTACAGGACTCGCTTCAAATGTCAATAGAGAGTTTTAGATTGACTTTTTTTTCTCCCCGCAAACGGCAAACGTGACCACGTTTTCATCGTTTACCTGTAATTTATTTTACCTTTTACAAACCTTCTCACAAAGCGCAAATACTCTTCTGTTTTTCTACTACTTGGACTTTTTTGAGATTTTTTTTTCAGTAATTAAAAAGAAGTTTTTATTGGTCAACTGACGTTTCACGTTTGCCGTGAACGTAAATCTAAAACTCTCTAATAAAACAGCAAAGAACTAGGCAAAGTACAAATCGGAATCGATTACCCATCTTACCAGGGTTAAATTGAGCATTTAAATCCAGCGAGTTACTTTGATATCTGTGTAATTGTGAAGGGAAGTCAACAAAATCCACAGGAAGGGCACAGGGTAGTAGTCACGACATCGCTAAAGGCAGTTTGATTCACATTTTAGGCAGAAAACATTAAAGTGCCTATGACCTTTATTTTATTTCTGTATCAAAATATAAGCTATTCTAAGAAACTTGTCGGAAGGATTTTTTGATTCTGACGCCTCTTTCTATCTTTTTCGAACGGTCAAACCCCGTGGGGGGGGGGGGGTACTCCCCCATATGTGCTATACGGGTATGTGCCGCCCTATAGGGTATGGTTTTTCGGCTTTTGGGTCTGGGGTAGGATATCATTTTTCGACATTTTGTCTGGGATAGGGTATCATTTTAGTCTGGGATAGGGTTAACGATTTGGTCGTTTTTGTCTGGCGAATAGGATACGCTTTCTGCCGACCAAAAACTGAATAAAAATGTTAGTAAATATTGATTGCAATCGATTGTAAAACCGTATTTTCCGTCTTTTAGTCTGGGATAGGGTGTACAATCCTTAGTTTTAGTCTGGGGTAGGGTATGTAAAATCAAAATTTTAGGTCTGGGATAGGGTCAGGGTTTTGAGGTCCTGGCGGCACACCCCTACCCAAGTTGGGGTGGTAGTACCCCCCCGGGGGTCAAACGTGCATGCAAAAATTGGCATTTCTTTGACCTCTAGCCGCGTAAAATGATAACCTGGGGATTGGGCTGTGACGTCAAAGGAGCATGTTGCCTCCCCATTCTCTCTAGATTTCACTAGTATTTTTGCCGTATTTTTATTTTTCCAAAAGGCCTCATATTTGTGGCTAGAGGATGTTAAGGACTTCAGACTTCAGGAATTAAATTACTTTTGAGATATTTTATGAAAAAGCAGTTTTCAAAGCTAAACATAAATTGCATTAAGGCTGGTTTAGACGGTACGATTTTCGCCTACAACTATCGTATATAGCCTCCGTTGCAGACGTCCTGCGGGGTTCGCTTCGGATCCCTCCCCCACAATCGTCGCTTGTGGGGGAGGGGTCCGAACCGAACCCCGCAGGACCTTTACAACGGAGGCTATATCGTATACAACACGCTCGCGTCTGTCTGGGCGAGTTGTAGGCTTTATTTACACGCTACGACTCGAGTTGTAGAATGGCGCCAGCTTGTTGTATACGATATACAGTCCTTTTACTAAACATTGTCGTTGATCGGATCATCCCTACGCGCCTAGACCGAAAAGGATAACGGGTAAATTAACATAAATAATTAATTGTTCTCTATCAGTCGGTGGCAAACGCAAAATCGGAGAGCAGAATGCACATTTGCCTTCGCGTTTTACGCAAGGAAAACAAGAGCCGTTTCACATCATATTCCATCAAGGGTGTCCCAAATATCGACAACGTGCAGGCGCTAAAAGATTACCTGCTTGAGCGCTGTTCAGACGAGTTATCGCCGGCTACAGATAGTAACTTCGAAATAAATTACTTTTGTGGTAAGAGCCAAAACTTTAGTATTTCCAGTCCAGTACAACTTGCTCAAGACGTGTTAGATACGGCATAAGTAACTGTGAATTAGATATCTCCATGATCCTTTTGGGTCTAGGCGCGTAGGGATGAAGCCGATCAACGACAACGTTTAGTCAAAGGACTGTAGTTGTAGGCGAAAATCGTACCGTCTAAACCGGCCTTTATATATTTAAACAGCTGTAGTAGTTCAGTCGAGGAACTAAGAGTGCTTGACACTTCATATCATCGTTAGCGGCTCTGTAACTCTGCAGGTCAACATGGTTTCACGTCATAGTCAAATATATTATTTTCTATAGAGTCCTAAAGTGATGACATCACGTTGCTTAGCGACGAAAATTTTCGGCTCTAAACAAACTCTACCACATTCAAGATGGCGTCGCTTTCAATCAGTTTTTTATCCTGTCTCATCTTTAGTAAATACAACTAAAATTACAACAGCATAGGTAGAAATTCTAGAGTATCTTGTTTACCAAGAAAAACATGTTCATCCTTTGACGTCACAGCCCAGTCTCCCCTGTCGCTCGGTCTTATTTTGAAATCTTTCTATTTTCGCACTTTTCACCGTTCGAAAAAAAATTGAAAGAGGCGTCAGAATCAAAAAATCCTTTCGACGCGTTTCTTAGAATAGCTTATATTTCGATATAAAAAAGTAAAAAATAAAGGTCATAGGCACTTTAAAGCAAAAAACTTCCGTTTAGTTTCAGATCGCCCACTTCATTCCGACCGAAAACGTTTTTCTACATAGGCATACAAACAATAAAAATCATACTAAACTCCAGTTGTTAAAGTAGCAGTAGCAGTAGCAGCAGCAGCAGCAGCAGCAGCAGTAGCAGCAGTAGCAGCAGCAGTAGCAGCAACAGCAACCACAACTACC